CCTGAGTCTCTACACCCTGAGTCTCTACACCCTGAGTCTCTAGACCCTGAGTGTCTACACTCTGAGACTCTACTAGACCCTGAGTCTCTACTAGACCCTGAGTCTCTACTAGACCCTGAGTCTCTACACCCTGATTCTCTACACCCTGATTCTCTAGACCCTGAGTCTCTACACCCCGAGTCTCTGCACCCTGAGTCTCTACTAGACCCTGAGTCTCTACACCCTGAGTCTCTACACCCTGAGTCTCTACACCCTGAGTCTCTACACCCTGAGTCTCTACACCCTGAGTCTCTAGACACTGAGTCTCTACTAGACCCTGAGTCTCTACACCCTGAGTCACTACTAGACCCTGAGTCTCTACTAGACCCTGAGTCTCTACTAGACCCTGAGTCTCTTCACCCCGAGTTTCTACACCCTGAGTCTCTACACCCCGAGTCTCTACACCCTGAGTCTCTACTTGACCCTGAGTCTCTACTAGACCCTGAGTCTCTGCACCCCGAGTCTCTACACCCTGAGACTCTAGACCCTGAGTCTCTACACCCTGAGTCTCTACACCTCGAGTCTCTACACCCTGAGACTCTACACCCTGAGTCTCTACACCCGGAGTCTCTTGACCCTGAGTTTCTTGACCCTGAGTCTCTACACCCTGAGTCTCTACACCCTGAGGCTCTACACCCTGAGTCTCTACACCCTGAGTCTCTACTAGACCCTGAGTCTCTACACCCTGAGTCTCTACACCCTGAGTCTCTACTAGACCCTGAGTCTCTACTAGACCCTGAGTCTCTACACCCTGAGTATCTACACCCTGAGTCTCTACTAGACCCTGAGTCTCTACTAGACCCTGAGTCTCTACTAGACCCTGCGTCTCTTCACCCCGAGTTTCTACACCCTGAGAATCTACACCCTGAGTCTCTACACCCTGAGACTCTAAACCCTGAGTCTCTACACCCTGAGTCTCTACACCCTGACTCTCTAGACCCTGAGTCTCTACACCACGAGTCTCTACACCACGAGTCTCTACACCCTGAGTCTCTACACCCTGAGTCTCTACACCCTGAGTCTCTACACCCTGAGTCTGTATACCCTGAGTCTCTAGACACTGAGTCTCTACTACACCCCGAGTCTCTACACCCTGAGTCTCTACACCAGGAGTCTCTACACCCTGAGTCTCTACACCATGAGTCTCTATACCGAGTCTCTATACCCTGAGTCTCTAGACCCTGAGTCTCTACATCCTGAGTCTCTAGGCACTGAGTCTCTACACTCTGAGTCTCTACACCCCGAGTCTCTACACCACGAGTCTCTACACCCCGAGTCTCTACACCACGAGTCTTTACACCCTGAGTCTCTACACCAGGAGTCTCTACACCCTGAGTGTCTACACCCTGAGTCTCTACACCCTGAGTCTCTAGGCACTGAGTCTCTACACCCTGAGTCTCTACACCAGGAGTCTCTACTAGACCCTGAGTCTCTACACCCTGAGTCTCTACACCACGAGTCTCTACTAGACCCTGAGTCTCTACACCCTGAGTCTCTACACCACGAGTCTCTACTAGACCCTGAGTCTCTACACCCTGAGTCTCTACTAGACCCTGAGTCTCTACACCCTGAGTCTCTACTAGACCCTGAGTCTCTACACCCTGAGTCTCTAGACCCTGAGTCTCTAGACCCAGAGTCTCTACACCACGAGTCTCTACACCACGAGTCTCTACACCCTGAGTCTCTACACCCTGAGTCTCTACACCCTGAGTCTCTACACCCTGAGTCTGTATACCCTGAGTCTCTAGACACTGAGTCTCTACTACACCCCGAGTCTCTACACCCTGAGTCTCTACACCAGGAGTCTCTACACCCTGAGTCTCTACACCATGAGTCTCTATACCGAGTCTCTATACCCTGAGTCTCTAGACCCTGAGTCTCTACATCCTGAGTCTCTAGGCACTGAGTCTCTACACCCTGAGTCTCTACACCCCGAGTCTCTACACCACGAGTCTTTACACCCTGAGTCTCTACACCAGGAGTCTCTACACCCTGAGTGTCTACACCCTGAGTCTCTACACCCTGAGTCTCTAGGCACTGAGTCTCTACACCCTGAGTCTCTACACCCTGAGTCTCTACACCCCGAGTCTCTACACCACGAGTCTCTCCATCCCGAGTCTCTACACCACGAGTCTTTACACCCTGAGTCTCTACACCAGGAGTCTCTACACCCTGAGTCTCTACACCGAGTCTCTACACCCTGAGTCTCTTCACCCTGAGTCTCTACACCGTGAGTCTCTGCACCCCGAGTCTCTACACGCTGAGTCTCTACACCCTTAGTCTCTACTAGACCCTGAGTCTCTACTAGAACCTGAGTCTCTACACGCTGAGTCTCTAGACCCTGAGTCTCTACACCCTGAGTCTCTACACCCTGAGTCTCTACTAGACCCTGAGTCTCTACTAGACCCTGAGTCTCTACACCCTGAGTCTCTACACCCTGAGTCTCTACACCCTGAGTCTCTAGACCCTGAGTCTCTAGACCCTGAGTCTCTACACCCTGAGTCTCTACACCCTGAGTCTCTTCACCCTGAGTCTCTACACCGTGAGTCTCTGCACCCCGAGTCTCTACACGCTGAGTCTCTACACCCTGAGTCTCTACTAGACCCTGAGTCTCTACTAGACCCTGAGTCTCTACACGCTGAGTCTCTAGACCCTGAGTCTCTACACCCTGAGTCTCTACACCCTGAGTCTCTACTAGACCCTGAGTCTCTACTAGACCCTGAGTCTCTACACCCTGAGTCTCTACTAGACCCTGAGTCTCTACTAGACCCTGAGTCTCTAACACCCTGAGTCTCTACACCCTGAGTATCTACACCCTGAGTCTCTACTAGACCCTGAGTCTCTACTAGACCCTGAGTCTCTACTAGACCCTGAGTCTCTTCACCCCGAGTTTCTACACCCTGAGTCTCTACACCCCGAGTCTCTAGGCCCTGAGTCTCTAACACCCTGAGTCTCTACACTTTGAGTCTCGAGACACCGAGTCTCCAGACCTTGAGTCTCCAGACCTTGAGTCTCTTGACCCTGAGTCTCTACTTGACCCTGAGTCTCTACATGTTGATTCTCTACACCCTGAGTCTCTACACCCTGAGTCTCTACACCCTGAGTCTCTACACCCTGAGTCTCTAGACCCTGAGTGTCTACACTCTGAGACTCTACTAGACCCTGAGTCTCTACTAGACCCTGAGTCTCTACTAGACCCTGAGTCTCTACACCCTGATTCTCTACACCCTGATTCTCTAGACCCTGAGTCTCTACACCCCGAGTCTCTGCACCCTGAGTCTCTACTAGACCCTGAGTCTCTACACCCTGAGTCTCTACACCCTGAGTCTCTACACCCTGAGTCTCTACACCCTGAGTCTCTACACCCTGAGTCTCTAGACACTGAGTCTCTACTAGACCCTGAGTCTCTACTAGACCCTGAGTCTCTACTAGACCCTGGGTCTCTTCACCCCGAGTTTCTACACCCTGAGTTTCTATACCCCGAGTCTCTATACCCTGAGTCTCTAGACACTGAGTCTCTACACCCTGAGTCTCTACTTGACCCTGAGTCTCTACTAGACCCTGAGTCTCTGCACCCTGAGTCTCTAGACCCTGAGTCTCTACACCCTGAGTCTCTACACCCCGAGTCTCTATACCCTGAGTCTCTACACCCGGAGTCTCTTGACCCTGAGTTTCTTGACCCTGAGTCTCTACACCCTGAGTCTCTACACCCTGAGGCTCTACACCCTGAGTCTCTACACCCTGAGTCTCTACTAGACCCTGAGTTTCTACACCCTGAGTCTCTACTAGACCCTGAGTCTCTACTAGACCCTGAGTCTCTACACCCTGAGTATCTACACCCTGAGTCTCTACTAGACCCTGAGTCTCTACTAGACCCTGAGTCTCTACTAGACCCTGCGTCTCTTCACCCCGAGTTTCTACACCCTGAGAATCTACACCCTGAGTCTCTACACCCTGAGAGTCTACACCCTGAGTCTCTACACCCTGAGTCTCTACACCCTGAGTCTCTACACCCTGAGTCTCTACACCCTGAGTCTCTACACCCTGAGTCTCTACTAGACCCAGAGTCTCTACACCACGAGTCTCTACACCACGAGTATCTACACCCTGAGTCTCTACCCCACGAGTCTCTACACCCTGAGTCTCTACACCCTGAGACTCTACACCCTGAGACTCTAGACCCTGAGTCTCTACACCCTGAGTCTGTATACCCTGAGTCTCTAGACACTGAGTCTCTACTACACCCCGAGTCTCTACACCAGGAGTCTCTACACCCTGAGTCTCTACACCATGAGTCTCTATACCGAGTCTCTATACCCTGAGTCTCTAGACCCTGAGTCTCTACACCCCGAGTCTCTACACCCTGAGTCTCTATACCCTGAGTCTCTAGACCCTGAGTCTCTACACCCTGAGTCTCTACACCCCGAGTCTCTACACCACGAGTCTCTACACCCCGAGTCTCTACACCACGAGTCTTTACACCCTGAGTCTCTACACCAGGAGTCTCTACACCCTGAGTCTCTACACCCTGAGTCTCTACACCCTGAGTCTTTACACCCTGAGTGTCTACACCAGGAGTCTCTACACCGAGTCTCTACACCCTGAGTCTCTACACTCTGAGTCTCTACACCCTGAGTCTCTAGACCCTGAGTCTCTAGACCCTGAGTCTCTACACCCTGAGTCTCTACACCCTGAGTCTCTCCACCCTGAGTCTCTACACCCTGAGTCTCTACACCCTGAGTCTCTACACCCTAAGTCTCTGCACCCTGAGTCTCTACACCCTGAGTCTCTACACCCTGAGTCTCTAGACCCTGAGTCTCTACACCCCGAGTCTCTACACCCTGAGTCTCTACACCCTGAGTCTCTACACCCTGATTCCCCAGACCCCGAGTCTCCAGACTCTGTTAACGCTACATGGTGGTGGGCGGTGGTGCCGTATCTTTGTCTTCGTGCGTCCGTAGAATACGGGGACACTGGAGAAGGTGGTGCAGAAGGAGCTGAAGAGGTGAGTCATCATTCGTGCGCTACAGACCTTGCCCCAACCTGGATTTGAAGTTTTCCTGACCGCAGGGAATCCTTGGTCGTCACCTGACGACGGACGCCCGAAACGTCGTGATTTGCTGTCTTTTATTTTACTCCCACGTGACTTTACCGACGACCTCGCCTCCGCAACTTCGTCGTCGACAGAGAAGGGGGGCAGGGGGGAAAGGGGAGGGCCCCCGTGGTACACTCGAGCAGATGCAGCAGGGGCATCTGAGTGCCCTGTGCGTATCCACTGGGACTTGGGGGGTGGGGGGTGGGTGGGGTAAGGGGGCGGACAGGGCCCCCGGTGTCTGGCACGGGGCCCCGGCAAGTGGTTCTTAAACCTTTGCCCGCAGCCCTTTTGCTTCTCAAGAAGGTCAAACATAAGAAAAATGTACAACGTTGACACATGGGGGTCGATGAAACAAAGGTTAATTTGTGCTTATTTTGTGTTTTCAATGATTCACCTTCCGAAAGGAAACCTGGCCATGTCTCGCACCCCCAGAAAGGGCATCTCTCGCACCCCCAGGGGATGCTGCGCCCCAGGTTAAGAACCACTCGCATAGAGACTCAGGGTGTAGAGACTCAGGGTGTAGAGACTCAGGGTGTAGAGACTCAGGGTGTAGAGACTCAGGGTCTAGAGACTCAGGGTGTAGAGACTCAGGGTGTAGAGACTCAGGGTGTAGAGACTCAGGGTGTAGAGACTCAGGGTGTAGAGACTCAGGGTGTAGAGACTCAGGGTGTAGAGACTCAGGGTGTAGAGACTCAGGGTCTAGAGACACAGGGTGTAGAGACACAGTCTAGATACTCAGGGTCTAGAGACTCAGGGTGTAGAGACTCAGGGTGTTGAGACTCAGGGTGTAGAGACTCAGGGTGTAGAGACTCAGGGTGTAGAGACTCAGGGTGTAGAGACTCAGGGTGTAGAGACTCAGGGTGTAGAGACTCAGCATCTAAACACTCGGGGTGTAGAGACTCAGGGTGTAGAGACTCAGCATCTAAAGACTCGGGGTGTAGAGACTCAGGGTGTAGAGACTCAGGGTGTAGAGACTCAGGGTCTAGAGACTCAGGGTCTAGAGACACAGAGTCTAGATACTCAGGGTCTAGAGACTCAGGGTGTAGAGACTCAGGGTGTAGAGACTCAGGGTGTAGAGACTCAGGGTGTAGAGACTCAGGGTGTAGAGACTCAGGGGCTAGAGACTCAGGGGCTAGAGACACAGGGTCTAGAGACTCAGGGGCTAGAGACACAGGGTGTAGAGACTCAGGGGCTAGAGACTCAGGGTCTAGAGACTCAGGGGCTAGAGACACAGGGTCTAGAGACTCAGGGGCTAGAGACACAGGGTGTAGAGACTCAGGGGCTAGAGACTCAGGGTCTAGAGACTCAGGGGCTAGAGACTCAGGGTCTAGAGACTCAGGGTCTAGAGACTCAGGGGCTAGAGTCACAGGGTCTAGAGACTCAGGGGCTAGAGACACAGGGTGTAGAGACTCAGGGGCTAGAGACTCAGGGTGTAGAGACTCAGGGTGTAGAGACTCAGGGTGTAGAGACTCAGGGTGTAGTGACTCAGGGTGTAGAGACTCAGGGTGTAGAAACTCAGGGTGTAGAGACTCTGGGTCTGGAGACTCAGGGTGTAGAGACTCAGGGTGTAGAGACTCAGAGTGTAGAGACTCTGGGTCTGGAGACTCAGGGTGTAGATACTCAGGGTGTAGAGACTCAGCATCTAAAGACTCGGGGTGTAGAGACTCAGGGTCTAGAGACTGAGGAGCTAGAGACTCAGTGGCTAGAGACTCAGGGGCTAGAGACTCAGACTTGGTCTGTGCATTTCCCCCCCCCCCCCATTGACCCCCTTCCCCCCCCCCCTTTTGACCCTCCCAGGACCGAGGACCCCAAGGCGTCTACGGAACTCCCCGCGCAGGCGCCCGCCGAAGGGACCGCCCCCCCCGCAGAGTTTGGGCGGCAGGGTGCTCCCGGTCGGCCCCCCTCCTCCCCCGCCCCGAAGCCTCCCGCTTTGGCGCTGCTCCGCGCTCGCACCGAGGGAGACTCTGAGGAGCCGGGCAATGCGAAGAGGGCGAAGGTGGGAGGGGTGGAGGAGGAGGAGGAGGAGGAGGAGGAGGAGGAGGAGGAACGCGCCGAGCTGGCGAAGGAGCCAATCAAAAAGGTTTACCCGCTTGTTCGTGCGTGTTCGTGCGTGTGGGGAGCGGGTGGTGCAGGTGGTGCAGTTGGTGCAGTTAGAAACGAGCGACCCCCGGCGACCCCGAGTTCGATTCCTGCTAGCGGCCAACACAGACACACACGCACACACACGCACACACACACGCGCACACCAGTAACGATTATCTGAACCGGTCCTGGGCCTCCCCTAGGTCGACTCGGAACTCCAATGAGTGACTGGTGCGGTGCGTTAACATCGTGAGACAAAGCAGTTGGGCGTGGTGCCTGCAGCCCACCCCCCTCGTGTGCTGCGACAACGTTCATAGGTGCTGCTCGATAAAAGCACTTGCCCCAGAGGCTATGCGGGGGATCTTTGTCTTTGTGTGCGCGTGTCCGCTGTGGAGGAGGGCAGGCTGCCGCCACTCCTCTGTCAGGAGCTGCACCGGTACCGCCTGGACCTCTGTGGATTTGAGGAGGTCTGCTGGGACTGGCTCTGGTGTTTGTGTGTTGAGAGGCTGCCGGTCGTCTGTCGGGAGCCGGACCGGGACCGCCTGGTCCTCTGTGGTTAACTCATCTGAGTCTCTCCCCTCCCTCCCCCAATGGCCCACCTCCCCCTGGCTCCCTCCCCCAGATGAGTGTGAGTGACGCGGAGGAGCCCTTCCCGCTCGACATGGACGAGATGGTCACGGTGGACGAGGTCACCGAGGACGACTGTCACTCAACCAAGGGGGCGGTGTCCGCCGCGGAGTCACCTGACGCCGAGGGACCAATGGGGACGGTGGTGTCGCATGGGGCGGCGGCACCGGAGGAATCTGTGTCGCATGGGGGGGCGGCACCGGAGGAAGCGGTGTCACATGGGGGGGCGGCACCAGAGACACCAGTCTCACATGGGGGGCCGGCACCTGTGGAATCACTGTCACATGGGGGGGCTGCACCAGAGAAACCGGTGTCACATGGGAGGGCGGCACCAGAGAAATCGGTGTCACATGGGGGGGCGGCACCTGTAGAATCACTGTCACATGGGGGGGCTGCACCAGAGAAACCGGTGTCACATGGGGGGGCGGAACCGGAGAAACCGGTACCACATGTGGAGGCGGAACCGGAGAAGCCGGTGTCACATGGGGGGGCAGCACCAGAGAAAACAGTCTCACATGGGGGGGCGGCACCTGTAGAATCTGTGTCACATGGGGGGGCGGCACCAGAGACACCAGTATCACATGGGGGGGCGGCACCAGAGAAACTGGTCTCACATGGGGGGGCGGCACCTGTAGAATCTATGTCACATGGGGGGGCGGCACCAGAGACACCAGTATCACATGGGGGGGCGGCACCAGAGAAGCCGGTATCACATGGGGGGGCGGCACCAGAGAAACCGGTGTCACATGGGGGGGCGGTAACTGTGGAATCGGTGTCACATGGGGGGGCGGCACCAGAGAAGCCGGTGTCACATGGGGGGGCGGCACCAGAGAAACCGGTGTCACATGGGGGGGCGGTAACTGTGGAATCGGTGTCACATGGGGGGGCGGCACCAGAGACACCAGTATCACATGGGGGGGCGGCACCAGAGACACCAGTCTCACATGGGAGGGCGGAACCGGAGAAGCCGGTGTCACATGGGGGGGCGGCACCAGAGACACCAGTCTCACATGGGGGGGCGGTAACTGTGGAATCGGTGTCACATGGGGGGGCGGCACCAGAGAAACCGGTGTCACATGGGGGGGCGGTGCCTGTAGAATCTATGTCACATGGGGGGGCGGCACCAGAGAAATCAGTGTCACATGGGGGGGCGGAACCGGAGAATCCGGTGTCACATGGGGTGGCACCTGTAGAATCGGTGTCACATGGGAGGGCGGCACCAGAGAAATCAGTGTCACATGGGGGGGCGGCACCTGTAGAATCGGTGTCACATGGGGGAGCGGCACCTGTAGAATCGGTGTCACATGGGGGGGCGGCACCTGTAGAATCGGTGTCACATGGGGGAGCGGCACCTGTAGAATCGGTGTCACATGGGGGGACAGCACCTCTGGGGGCGACGCCGCCTCAGCAGGAGTCAACTGACGGGCAGCAGCCAATGGGAGACGAGGTGAAGGGGGCGGCTCCTGTGGCGAAGGTGGCGACGTCGTTACGCGGTGTGGAGGTCGCCACGGAGCCCCAGCGACAAGCAGGAGACTCCCTGGGTGAGGGGGGGAGGCGGTGGGGTGGGCAGTGTTGAGTCTATGGTGCAGTGTTGAGTCTGGTGCAGTGTTGAGTCTATGGTGCAGTGTTGAGTCTATGGCGCAGTGCTGAGTCTATGGTGCAGTGTTGAGTCTATGGTGCAGTGCTGAGTCTATGGTGCAGTGTTGAGTCTATGGGCAGTGTTGAGTCTGTGGTGCAGTGTTGAGTCTATGGTGCAGTGTTGAGTCTATGGTGCAGTGTTGAGTCTATGGCGCAGTGCTGAGTCTATGGCGCAGTGTTAAGTCTATGGTGCAGTGTTGAGTCTATGGTGCAGTGTTGAGTCTATGGTGCAGTGTTGAGTCTATGGTGCAGTGTTGAGTCTATGGTGCAGTGTTGAGTCTATGGTGCAGTGTTAAGTCTATGGCGCAGTGCTGAGTCTATGGTGCAGTGTTGTATCTATGGTGCAGTGTTGAGTCTATGGTGCAGTGTTGAGTCTATGGTGCAGTACTGAGTCTATAGGCAGTGTTGAGTGTATGTTGCAGTGTTGAGTCTGGTGCAGTGTTGAGTCTATGGTGCAGTGTTTAGTCTATGGGCAGTGTTGAGTCTATGGTGCAGTGTTGAGTCTATGGTGCAGTGTTAAGTCTATTGTGCAGTGTAGAGTCTATGGTGCAGTGTTGAGTCTATGGGCAGTGTTGAGTCTATGGTGCAGTGTTGAGTCTATGGTGCAGTGTAGAGTCTATGGTGCAGTGTTGAGTCTATGGGCAGTGTTCAGTCTATGGTGCAGTGCTGAGTCTATGGGCAGTGCTGAGTCTATCGTGCAGTGTTGAGTCTATGGTGCAGTGTTGAGTCTATGGCGCGGTGCTGAGTCTATGGTGCAGTGTTGAGTCTATGGTGCAGTGTTGAGTCTATGGCGCAGTGCTGAGTCTATGGTGCAGTGTTGTATCTATGGTGCAGTGTTGAGTCTATGGTGCAGTGTTGAGTCTATGGTGCAGTGTTGAGTCTATGGTGCAGTGTTGAGGCTATGGTGCAGTGTTGAGTCTATGGTGCAGTGTAGAGTCTATGGTGCAGTGTTGAGTCTATGGGCAGTGTTGAGTCTATGGTGCAGTGCTGAGTCTATGGGCAGTGCTGAGTCTATGGTGCAGTGTTGAGTCTATGGTGCAGTGTTGAGTCTATGGTGCAGTGTTGAGTCTATGGTGCAGTGTTGAGTCTATGGTGCAGTGTTGAGTCTATGGGCAGTGTTGAGTCTATGGTGCAGTGTTGAGCCTATGGTGCAGTGTTAAGTCTATGGTGCAGTGTAGAGTCTATGGTGCAGTGTTGAGTCTATGGGCAGTGTTGAGTCTATGGTGCAGTGTTAAGTCTATGGTGCAGTGTAGAGTCTATGGTGCAGTGTTGAGTCTATGGGCAGTGTTGAGTCTTTGGTGCAGTGTTGAGTCTATCGTGCAGTGTTGAGTCTATGGTGCAGTGTTGAGTCTATGGTGCAGTGTTGAGTCTATGGTGCAGTGTTGAGTCTATGGGCAGTGTTGAGTCTATGGTGCAGTGTTGAGTCTATGGTGCAGTGCTGAGTCTATGGTGCAGTGTTGAGTCTATGGTGCAGTGTTGAGTCTATGGTGCAGTGTTGAGTCTATGGTGCAGTGTTGAGTCTATGGTGCAGTGCTGAGTCTATGGTGCAGTGCTGAGTCTATGGGTAGTGTTGAGTCTATGGTGCAGTGTTGAGGCTATGGGTAGTGCTGAGTCTATGGGTAGTGTTGAGTCTATGGTGCAGTGTTGAGTCTATGGTGCAGTGTTGAGTCTATGGTGCAGTGTTGAGTCTATGGTGCAGTGTTGAGTCTATGGGCAGTGTTGAGTCTATGGTGCAGTGTTGAGTCTATGGTGCAGTGTAGAGTCTATGGTGCAGTGTTGAGTCTATGGGCAGTGTTGAGTCTATGGTGCAGTGTTGAGTCTATGGTGCAGTGTAGAGTCTATGGTGCAGTGTAGAGTCTATGGTGCAGTGTTGAGTCTATGGTGCAGTGTTGAGTCTATGGTGCAGTGTTGAGTCTATGGTGCAGTGTAGAGTCTATGGTGCAGTGTTGAGTCTATGGTGCAGTGTTGAGTCTATGGTGCAGTGTTGAGGCTATGGTGCAGTGTTGAGTCTATGTGTAGTGTTGAGTCTATGGTGCAGTGTTGAGTCTATGGTGCAGTGTTGAGTCTATGGGCAGTGTTGAGTCTATGGTGGAGTGTTGAGTCTATGGTGCAGTGCTGAGTCTATGGTGCAGTGTTGAGTCTATGGTGCAGTGTTGAGTCTATGGTGCAGTGTTGAGTCTATGGTGCAGTGTTGAGTCTATGGTGCAGTGTTGAGTCTATGGTGCAGTGTTGAGTCTATGGTGCAGTGTTGAGTCTATGGTGCAGTGTTGAGTCTATGGTGCAGTGTTGAGTCGATGGGCAGTGTTGAGTCTATGGGCAGTGTTGAATCTATGGGCAGTGTTGAGTCTATGGTGCAGTGTTGAGTCTATGGTGGTGGTGATGTTTGTGTGGTGGTGTTGTTGACCGTGCTGATGGTTGTGTTGGTGATGGTGGTGCTGGTGGTGCTGGTGGTGCTGGTGGTGATGGTGGTGATCGTGGTGATCATGGTTGTGGTCATCGTGGTGATGGTGGTGCTGGTGGTGATGGTGGTGATGGTGGTGATTGTGGTGATCATGGTTGTGGTCATCGTGGTGATGGGTGGTGGTGATCGTGGTGATGTTGGTGTTGATCGTGGTGATGGTGGTGGTGTAGAACGTGGGGAACCAGAGGACGAGCCGCCGTCTAAGAAAGCCAAGATTCTGCAGAAGGTCGGAGCCTCACAGCCATCGATGGGAGAACCAATCGGTGAGCAGCACTCGCTCAGCTGTAACCACCACCCTAGCACTGTGACCTCCCCCATCTCTAGCACTGTGACCCCCGTCTCTAGCGCTGTGACCCCCATCTCTAGCACTGTGACCCCCCCCCCATCTCTAGCGTTGTGACCCCCATCTCTAGCACTGTGACCCCCATCTCTAGCACTGTGACCTCCCCATCTCTAGCACTGTGACCCCCATCTCTAGCACTGTGACTCCCATCTCTAACACTGTGACCCCCGTCTCTAGCGCTGTGACCCCCATCTCTAACACTGTGACCCCCATCTCTAGCACTGTGACCCCCATCTCTAGAGCTGTGACCCCCATCTCTAGCGCTGTGACCCCCGTCTCTAGCACTGTGACCCCCATCTCTACCACTGCGACCCCCATCTCTAGCGCTGTGACCCCCGTCTCTAGCACTGTGACCCCCATCTTTAGCACTGTGACCCCCATCTCTAGCGCTGTGACCCCCGTCTCTAGCACTGTGACCCCCATCTCTACCACTGCGACCCCCATCTCTAGCGCTGTGACCCCCGTCTCTAGCACTGTGACCCCCATCTTTAGCACAGTGACCCACATCTCTAGCGCTGTGACCCCCATCTCTAGCGCTGTGACCCCCATCTCTAGCACTGTGACCCCCATCTTTAGCACTGTGACCCACATCTCTAGCACTGTGACCCCCATCTCTAGCGCTGTGACCCCCATCTCTAGCGCTGTGACCCCCATCTCTAGCACTGTGACCCCCATCTCTAGCACTGTGACCCCCATCTCTAGCACTGTGACCCCCATCTCTAGCACTGTGACTCCCATCTCTAGCACTGTGACCCGCATCTCTAGCACTGTGACCCCCCATCTCTAGCACTGTGACCCCCATCTCTAGCACTGTGACCCCCATCTCTAACACTGTGACAACCATCTCTAGCACTGTGACCCCCATCTCTAACACTGTGACCCCCATCTCTAACACTGTGACCCCCATCTCTAGCACTGTGACCCCCATCTCTAGCACTGTGACCCCCATCTCTAGCACTGTGACCCCCATCTCTAGCACTGTGACCCCCATCTCTAACACTGTGACCCCCATCTCTAGCACTGTGACCCCCATCTCTAACACTATGACCCCCATCTCTAACACTGTGACCCCCATCTCTAGCACTGTGACCCCCATCTCTAGCGCTGTGACCCCCATCTCTAGCACTGTGACCCCCATCTCTAGCACTGTGACCCCCATCTCTAGCACTGTGACCCCCATCTCTAGCACTGTGACCCCCATCTCTAACGCTGTGACCCCCATCTCTTGCACTGTGACCCCCATCTCTAGCACTGTGACCCCCATCTCTAGCACTGTGACCCCCATCTCTAGCACTGTGACCCCCATCTTTAACGCTGTGACCCCTATCTCTAGCACTGTGACCCCCATCTCTAGCACTGTGACCCCCATCTCTAGCACTGTGACCCACATCTCTAGCAATGTGACCCCCATCTCTAACACTGTGACCCCCATCTCTAGTACTGTGACCCCCATCTCTAGCACTGTGACCCCCATCTCTAACGCTGTGACCCCCATCTCTAACACTGTGACCCCCATCTCTAGCACTGTGACCCCCATCTCTAACACTGCGACCCCCATTTCTAACACTGTGACCCCCATCTCTAGCACTGTGACCCCCATCTCTCGCACTGTGACCCCCCCATCTCTAGCGCTGTGACCCCCATCTCTAACGCTGTGACCCACATCTCTAACACTGTGACCCCCATCTCTAGCGCTGTGACCCCCATCTCTAACACTGTGACCCACATCTCTAGCACTGTGACCCCCATCTCTAACACTGTGACCCCCATCTCTAACACTGTGACCCCCATCTCTAGCACTGTGACCCCCATCTCTAGCGCTGTGACCCCCATCTCTAGCACTGTGACCCCCATCTCTAGCACTGTGACCCCCATCTCTAGCACTGTGACCCCCATCTCTAACACTGTGACCCCCATCTCTAGCACTGTGACCCCCATCTCTAACACTATGACCCCCATCTCTAACACTGTGACCCCCATCTCTAGCACTGTGACCCCCATCTCTAACGCTGTGACCCCCATCTCTAGCACTGTGACCCCCATCTCTAGCACTGTGACCCCCATCTCTAACACTGTGACAACCATCTCTAGCACTGTGACCCCCATCTCTAACACTGTGACCCCCATCTCTAACACTGTGACCCCCATCTCTAGCACTGTGACCCCCATCTCTAGCGCTGTGACCCCCATCTCTAGCACTGTGACCCCCATCTCTAGCACTGTGACCCCCATCTCTAGCACTGTGACCCCCATCTCTAACACTGTGACCCCCATCTCTAGCACTGTGACCCCCATCTCTAACACTGTGACCCCCATCTCTAGCACTGTGACCCCCATCTCTAGCACTGTGACCCCCATCTCTAACGCTGTGACCCCCATCTCTAGCACTGTGACCCCCATCTCTAGCACTGTGACCCCCATCTCTAGCACTGTGACCCCCATCTCTAGCACTGTGACCCCCATCTCTAACGCTGTGACCCCCATCTCTTGCACTGTGACCCCCATCTCTAGCACTGTGACCCCCATCTCTAGCACTGTGACCCCCATCTTTAACGCTGTGACCCCTATCTCTAGCACTGTGACCCCCATCTCTAGCACTGTGACCCCCATCTCTTGCACTGTGACCCCCATCTCTAGCACTGTGACCCCCATCTCTTGCACTGTGACCCCCATCTCTAGCACTGTGACCCCCATCTCTAACACTGTGACCCCTGTCTTTAGCACTGTGACCCCCATCTCTAGCGCTGTGACCCCCATCTCTAGCACTGTGACCCCCATCTCTAGCACTGTGACCCCCATCTCTAGCACTGTGACCCCCGTCTCTAGCACTGTGACCCCCATCTCTAGCACTGTGACCCCCATCTCTAACACCGTGACCCCCATCTCTAGTACTGTGACCCCCATATCTAACACTGTGACCCCCATCTCTAACACTGTGACCCCCATATCTAACACTGTGACCCCCATCTCTAACGCTGTGACCCCCATCTCTAGCACTGTGACCCCCATCTCTAACACTATGACCCCCATCTCTAACACTGTGACCCCCATCTCTAGCACTGTGACCCCCATCTCTAACACTGTGACCCCCATCACTAGCACTGTGACCCCCATCTCTAACACTGTGACCCCCATCTCTAACACTGCGACCCCCATCTCTAGCACTGTGACCCCCGTCTCTAGTACTGTGACCCCCATCTCTAACACTGTGACCCCCATCTCTAACACTGTGACCCCCATCTCTAGCACTGTGACCCCCATCTCTAGCACTGTGACCCCCATCTCTAGCACTGTGACCCCCATCTCTAGCACTGTGACCCCCATCTCTAACACCGTGACCCCCATCTCTAACACTGTGACCCACATCTCTAACACTGTGACCCCCATCTCTAACACTGTGACCCCCATCTCTAACACTGTGACCCCCATCTCTAGCACTGTGACCCACATCTCTAGCACTGTGACCCCCATCTCTAGCACTGTGACCCCCATCTCTAACTCTGTGACCCCCATCTCTAGCACTGTGACCCCCGTCTCTAGCACTGTGACCCCCGTCTCTAGCACTGTGACCCCCATCTCTAGCACTGTGACCCCCATCTCTAACACCGTGACCCCCATCTCTAGCACTGTGACCCCCATCTCTAGCACTGTGACCCCCATCTCTAGCACTGTGACCCCCATCTCTAACACTGTGACCCCCATCTCTAACACTGTGACCCCCATCTCTAGCACTGTGACCCCCATCTCTAACACCGTGACCCCCATCTCTAACACTGTGACCCCCATCTCTAGCGCTGTGACCCCCATCTCTAACACTGTGACCCACATCTCTAACACTGTGACCCCTCCATCTCTAGCACTGTGACCCCCATCTCTAACACCGTGACCCCCATCTCTAGCACTGTGACCCCCGTCTCTAGCACTGTGACCCCCATCTCTAGCACTGTGACCCCCATTTCTAACACTGTGACCCCCATCTCTAGTACTGTGACCCCCATCTCTAGCACTGTGACCCCCATCTCTAGCACTGTGACCCCCATCTCTAACGCTGTGACCCCCATCTCTAGCACTGTGACCCCCATCTCTAACACTGTGACCCCCATCTCTAACGCTGTGACCCCCATCTCTAGCACTGTGACCCCCCTCTCTAGCACTGTGACCCCCGTCTCTAGCACTGTGACCCCCATCTCTAGCACTGCGACCCCCATCTCTAACACCGTGACCCCCGTCTCTAGCACTGTGACCCCCATCTCTAGCACTGTGACCCCCATTTCTAACACTGTGACCCCCATCTCTAGTACTGTGACCCCCATCTCTAACACTGTGACCCCCATCTCTAACACTGTGACCCCCATCTCTAACACTGTGACCCCCATCTCTAACACTGTGACCCCCGTCTCTAGCACTGTGACCCCCATCTCTAACACTGTGACCCCCATCTCTAACACTGTGACCCCCGTCTCTAGCACTGTGACCCCCATCTCTAGTACTGTGACCCCCATCTCTAACACTGTGACCCCCATCTCTAACACTGTGACCCCCATCTCTAACACTGTGACCCCCATCTCTAACACTGTGACCCCCATCTCTAACACTGTGACCCCCATCTCTAACACTGTGACCCCCATCTCTAACACCGCGACCCCCATCTCTAACACTGTGACCCCCATCTCTAACACTGTGACCCTCATCTCTAACACTGTGACCCCCATCTCTAGCACTGTGAACCCCCCATCTCTAACACTGTGAGACCCATCTCTAACACTGTGAACCCCCCATCTCTAACACTGTGACCCCCATCTCTAGCACTGTGAACCCCCCATCTCTAGCACTGTGACCCCCGTCTCTAGCACTGTGACCCCCATCTCTAACACTGTGACCCCCATCTCTAACACTGTGACCCCCATCTCTAGCACTGTG